ATATATATATATATATATATATATATATATATATATATATATTATTTTGAAATATCCCTAATTACAGAAATAAAGTAGCTTGCTTTTAAAGCTGATTTCTCAACCAGCCCAACACAGTAACACTGACTCAGCCAATAGCATGAGTTTGGGGCGGGACTATCTGCTTGCCTGACCAATGACAGACAGGTGGGGTGTTTAGTGAAGCTTCTGATGCACGAGGTCACAGATCACTCTTTGTTTAAGGACACCCAAGGACACATTCAGTCTCTCGCTGTGGGCACTGAAGTGTTTTATATGGCAGGAATGATTGCTAAATGTTGACATTGAGTTCTGACAGATCATCTCTTTCAGAATCTCAATACAAACTAACTTTTTACACACTGGAGCATTTTTTGAGATTCAGAAACAGGTCATATTCTCCCCTGAAAAGGGTTTATCCAACAGCATGTTCTTTACCTGATGTTGTTGCTGACTGAATTAAGCGCACGTTTCATTAGTTCAGCAGATACTGTCTCGGTGTGGAAGTCAAGTGCTTATCAGCTTCCCTCTTCAAAGTGAAAGAGGTGAAACACTCTGCTAGGCCGTACGACCCAAATTCTTCTCAACACGAAACCTGACACAGATGAGTCCGGCCTTTTATTTCCATTAATAGAAGACCAGTCAGTGGAATCCATGAGAGACAGCTTCCATTGAGAGCGAGAGGACTGATGCTGAATGCAAGAAGACGAGGGTCACCTTCATGATAGTCTGTCCTAGCTGGACTCTCGCATTTATAGTGTCATCTGGCACTGATTAGATCCTGTTGCATATGTTTAAACAGCCTGTATAAGATCTGATTTGTCATGTGGTTCTAAATCCGATATTTATCTGATATCCGCATGACCAGTTTGCCTGAACAGAGGGCCAGTGGAGCAGACGTGCACTTCACAGTTTAGGGATTTACTAGTTTTCATGAATCATAACGGTCTTCTTTTCACATTCCAACTGTGAACTGAAAAGTAGGGTTATGAAGGCTTTACTGGATGAAAATTGTACAAATGCTACTTTTATATAATTTATATGCAAAATTAATGGGGGCTTGTAATACTTCATAAGTCTTTATAAAGTAAGCGGTTGTCGCATACATGTATAACGAGAAAGCCATTGATGAAAACCAAAGAATGACCAATTAAAGAGTTATATGAACATAAAACAAATTGAGAATTGGAAAAACTTTTTCCCTCAGCTGTAGGTCTCAAATATTGTAAAAGTTTACTTCACATTTGACTTCTTATCTTGCACTATACATATTTTCTTTTCTTTTCTTTTATTTTATTTTATTTATAGAAAACTTAAATATTTCTAAAATATTTTATTGTTTTTAAATATTTGTTTCTGTTTTTAATATTGTATTTGAAAAATATTTATAAAATTAATATTTATAAAATATTTTATTGTTTTAAAAAAATAGTTTATTTACTATATTTTTTCTATATCAGTTTTTCTAGATCTAATTAATGACATTTTTTGTTTTGTTTTGTTTTTATGATGAGTCAGATTGGATAGGAAAATCAGTCAGCAAGTCTACACAAAAAGAAGCTCAACTAGAAGCGAGTTTTCATTTATATAACATTTGCTTTCACTAATTCCCATATGTCCATTGGTGTCATTTCAGTCATTGATGACTTCAATATAATTCTACAATGTTGAATATAGTGAAAACGAAGAATGACTAGGTGAGAATTACTTGAAAGACTCTTCATTTGAAAAGAGACATTTATAACATCTATATAAGACAAGTGGGTCTTTCACATGAGTAAATGAGATTACCAGGCAATCCGAAGGCCGTTAAAGTGAACGGTCTCTTGGAAAGCACATTGTGGTGGATCAGATGTAGTTTAAGGGCATTGCTGAACCCAGAAGTGGATGTTCAATCGCACACTGCTCTGTTAATAGAGGGCACATTTGGAAGAGAGCTGAAGACGTCACCTCTGTGCCTTAAAGGCCATATAGACTCATAGCAAAATGGGCCTTGGGAGATTTTATAAAAGCGTCTTGAGTGCAGATTAACTGTGTCCTTCAGAAGAAGAGGGTGAAATTCTCTCTTAATCATGTTCTTTCTCTCATTTTTTCTCTCTGCAGCATAAAAGAGACGCCCAGAGCAGCACCAAGCATGTGGAGTTGATAATCGTCGCAGACAACCGCGAGGTATTGACGCTCTTAACCTCACACACATCTCCAACCTTCCATCATCTAATTCAGCGGCTCTAAACTAGTGGGTCGTGACCTAAAAATGAAACACAGATCTGTTTTTTTACTTGGGTCACAGACATCAACGATGCTCAGCGCAAATGATAGCTTACCATATAATGGTGCTCATCCTCAAAACCTAGAACAAAACTACAAAAGGTAAAAGAAAATTAGTTCCAGACATGAAATATTGATTCACATGCAATGTGGTGTTTTATAAGCTGATTGATTGGCTGACAAGAGCAGGAAACCATCAATTTACAAAAAGCATTAGAAACCAAATATCTAAACACATGGGGGGTGGGGGGGGATGCATAAAAAGGCAAAAGAAAAATCTTATGTAAGCATCAAAACAATGCCCTACCGTATTGCAACGTACCAAAGCAGTCAATACAGCACAGCCAAGAATAACTCAAAGAGGTTGCCAGCGTTTACTAAACTGTGGACTAGCTTTGACTCTTGCTGCTGATTTGAATGGCGATGCTTCCCGTTTTAAGTGTCTGTTGATGGCCTTTCGTTTTTAACCAGAAATGTGCGTGCTGCTTTTCTGATGTTCATTGAAGTTTTCCGTGTCTTTTTCCCGTGTCACTTGAAATGTGTCCATTTTGAATCGTTGTTACCAAAGGAAATTAGAGGGTCATTGTTTGTTTGGACAGGAAATAAAGACGCCCAGCTGTGATCACTTGACCTCTTTACAGACTGTTTGTAATGTGCATTAAGAAACACTTTGTTTACAATATCATTCTTTCTACCATTGGGGGGCCTCTCAAATGTCCCGTCCTGTGATATTTTATGGACACGAACAAAACCTGATCATTCAGTTTGTTGAATGATCTATATTTTCCCCAGCTGTACCTGCTGGAACCAGGTGGATGTTAAAGAAAGAGTTAGAAATAGTGCTTTGCTTGTCTTGCGAATTTTACAGCAATCAAGCTTTCATCCTGTCTCTCCTACAACAATCCCAGCCATCATGGGTTACACATTTCCAGTCTGTGCTTTTATTTTGTAAAACTGACAGTCTGGACATCAAGCACTGCTGGTTGTGTTTGGCTCAACATCTGTGTGCCGCTGCCCATGGAAAATGAATTACCTCATGTGACATTTACCACAGCCGGCCAATGAACGGCACATTTGGCTGCAGTTTAAAGACTTTTTTGTCCTCCTTTGCATTTCAGTATCAGAAACAGGGGAAAGATGTGGAGAAAGTGAAACAGAGGCTTGCTGAAATAGCAAACTATGTGGACAAGGTAAACTTGGAAAGCATGTCAACATGCTTTGAATGAATGAATGAATAATTAATACTTGCACAAAACAGATCTTTTTGTAGGAAAATGCATAACCTAAAATTGTTTATTTGTTCTTATTTGCATTTAAGCATTCAAAACAATTTCTAACACCATATTTTAACCAGACGTGATGCAATAAAGCATCAAGAAAATTGTGTGTATATTTTAACTATAATTATAAAATAAATTGTGAATATATAGTTATAATTCTGCCTATATGATTGTAAATTTTTTATTAATCTTGAATATGCAAAGTTATAACTCTGAACATATAACTGTAAATTGGAATACATATTTATAAATCCTGAATATATAAATGCAACTCTGAATATATATCTCAGTATATGTTATTTAGTCAAAACAATTTCTTGCATATCTTTACCGGAAATTTTGCAATAAAGCGGCAAGAAAATTATTCCCAGATAAATATTTGTGCAAATTGTGTGAGTTTTTGTCAGGTTTTCCCTCTTGAAACATCTGCTTTAAGTTGCTTTGCTGAGAGCAAGCTCTGCCGTGTTTCAGTTTTACAGATCGCTGAATATCCGTGTGGCTCTGGTGGGGCTGGAGGTGTGGAGTGATGAAGACAAATGCTCCATCACACAGGATCCGTTCACATCGCTCCACGAGTTCCTGGACTGGAGAAAACTCAAGCTGCTCCCGCAGAGACCCCACGATAACGCTCAGCTCATCAGGTTTGACTGCTAAACGCGTTTACTGCTGAGGGCCGGCAGGTGGAAAACACAGCATGCGGTTTACCACCAGAATCAATGCACTGTTTCCTCCAGGAAGAATTGCTTCACTATTTAATATTTTGAAATGTTGAAAAATGTGTGAGGTTTTATTCACATATTTGTATTTAAAATGCTTTGTTTCTATTGAAACTTTACCCAGCTTGCTGTAGATGAACGTGTGTCACATGACTTCCTGTTTTCCCTCTTCAGTGGCGTTTACTTCCAGGGCACCACCATCGGCATGGCTCCCATTATGAGCATGTGCACTGTGGAGCAGTCAGGGGGCATCGTCATGGTGAGTGACATCTGTCAATCATTCGTTATGACAGAGAGGTTTAATGATATTTTTGAACATTTAAAATTCTTTTTTTTGGTCTTTTTTACAATGTCTACTGTTTTATTTGAACAGAGTTGATTAATTTGAAACCAAAGAAACTTGTGAAATGTTTTGGTGTTTTGCTTTGAAAGTGCATGTGAGATATATTTATTCAAAAAAGATACTTGATTTGATATGTTTATATAATGCAAAGGAATTGTATAAATATATGACATTACATTTATATATTTTATATATGAAATAATGTTATAATGTTATATATTTTATATATTAGATATTTTATACATTTCTTCAAGCATATTGGAGACATTGCCACAGTTTTCTATTGACACACTACAACAAAAGATCTAAAAATAACTGGCTTAAAAACATTTTTTTTGTTGTTGGTGAAAACACTAATGGCCTAAAATTATTATTATTATATATTTTTTTTTTTGGTAAATGGCAGTCTAAAATGCAGTCTATAATTACAAATAAGTCTATGGTGTGACTAATTGTATTTGTTTATGGTGTGACATGCCAAATACTGTATTACATTATACTCCTGGTGTAATGTCACACCAGTGTGTGTGTGTGTGCGTGCATGCGTGTGCGTGTGTGTTTTGTCATATGTCTTTGTTATATATATTTTATTTTTAAGTCTCGTTGCAGACATCAGTTAGTTTTTGAATACAGGGGTTACTCGAGGTTGCTGCGGTTCTAACTTTTAGATGATCATCTCCTCCTTTACTTTGTCAGAAGAGGACAGTAACTCACTCAGCACGGCCGTCTAGAGATGTTTTCCCTAAATCAACCCAACACATTGATCACCCAGCACTCCACCATAACATCCTACTGAGACACAAAATCAAAGCAGCTCTCTGAGATACAGATCGAGGGAAAGCGCTGTATGTGTTCTTGCACAGCAAATGAGTTGAAGTTAGTTAAACTCTTGACATATTTATAGCTGGCTACCTGACTAATAAGACCTCCGGTTTAATAGCACAGACACTTGAAACTGTTGCTTTCATTCTGCTTGCATAGAGTGTGTTTCTGGCCTCTATGTTGGAGTAAACTGGACCAACTCAATATTTGAGCTTTGATTGAGGATCCCATTATATGAAGCTTCTCCATTATAGATCATTATAGTCACATGCGGTTTCTTCCAAAACGTTTTAACTTTGTCAGTCAAAACAGCAGACATGCATGTTTTCTTCATTGACTCATTCATCGGATGTGTTTTATTTCCTTTGGCCGCCTCTTGAATGTCAGACTTTTGTTTTTGCTGTTTGACTGAGTGGAGTTGCCACCATAAAAGCCACAGTATTTCACAGAAAACATGGCACGATCTCATGACATCTTGTGTTCGGATGAGGTTTTGTCCTCATTTGACCAGTTCCCACTAAACTAAACTAAAGCTTTCTGAAAATGCAATGAGCTACACAGACAGCAGCAGATTATAGATGATTGTGTTCAGCTCCCCGGACCATCAGAATTCTCCAATCACACATCCAGTGGAAAGAAAATTCACAAAATGACATGAGAAGAGATTAAATGGAGTGCAAATGGAGACTTTTGCTTGTCTTTTTTATGCTTAAAAAAAACACACCCAGTAATCCAAAATTTGTGTCCTCTAGAGTGAGAAAATTGCAACTTTTGCCACATTGCGTTCGGACATAAGCATCCTTTAACCAAGGCTTCTGGAAATGCAATTTGCTGTATTCCTGCTTGATTTCAAACTGATCTGATTCTTTTAACACCCTCTAAACAGGAGTGTGTAAAATTACACACTCCTGTCCGTCAAACACTCCTCTAATCTGAACGCAAATTACATCATGCATATTTAAATTAAGTCATTCTTTTGACAAACATGCATCCTTTCTATGCAAATGAGGCTCATTATAGAATGTGCCGGATTCATAAGCATCAGCATTTTTGCCTAACACAGTTAGTTATAAATGCCCATGGAAAGCTTAAAGTTGTAAAGTTACACGTGATTATGCCAGCAATAATTGTAAAGGTTTTTTGATTAAATGTGGTCCTTAAATGCAATATATACCGTTCAAAAGTTTGAGGTGGGTTAAATTTTAAAATATTTTTAAAAGAGGACTCTTTTGCTCACCAAGTCTGCATTTATTTGATCAAAAAAACACTGTGCAAACAGGAATATTGTGAAATATTTTTGCAATTTAAAAAATCTGTTTTCTGTTTAATTATATATTTTAAAATGTAATTTATTGCTGTGATCAAAGCTGAATTTTCAGCATCATTACTCCAGTCGTCAGTGTCACATGATCCTTCAGAAATCATTCTAATATGCTGATTTGCTGCTCAAGAAACATTTCTGATTATTATCAGTATTGTTGTGCTGCTTCATACACTGAAAAAATGGTGTAGAAAAAATGTTCACTCAGAAATAGCTTGTAAATTAAAAAAAAAAAAAATTATAAAGAAATTAAAAGTAACACATAGAATTAAACATGACATTTTGAAGACTGAAACAGTATTTTCTTGTCAAACGTAATCTGTTTTATTATAACTTAGAAAATAATTTTCACAGTGTGTTTTTGTAGAAACCATGATTTATTTCAGGATTTTTGATGAATAGAAAGTTCAAAAGAACAGCATTTATTTGAAATTGAAGTCTTTTGAAACATTATAAATGTCTTTACCATCACTTTTGATCAATTTAATGCATCCTTGATGAATAAAAGCATTAATTCCTAACTGACCCCAAACTTTTTAAAAATCATTTTGTTCCAGTATTTGGTTTCCAAGTCTCTCTAGCTCCGAAAGAGCACCTTCTGAGCAATAAAACGTTCCTCATGCTCATTATCTGACACGAATGATCACTCAGAACTGAAGTGAATCTGGCGGTTTTCCTTCATTTTAATTAGATTTTCACGTGTTTGGCAGACACGTCCTCACCAAAGCGACTGTAATTGTGTCTGTCCTGCCTCATCAGCACACACCCTTCCCCAAACAAAGCCTGCAGAACGGTCTGCAATTACAGCAGCGGATCTCCAGTTATGCTGCTCTGATGGATTTGTGGAAAAGTAATTAGAAAGGCCGTTAGTGTCTGCTCATTACAGATCTCATGTGAAACTGTTTTCTGAGAGAAAAACAAACACGCAGGAGGAGAGATGTGGGGATAAATGTAATCTGGGGAGGGAAGGTGGAACAGGACGGATAACGCCTCTCGAGTCTCGGGGGTCGCGGAGGAAGAAATTGCTCTTGTTTGTTTTAAATTGAAATTGATTGCTTATTTGAATTCACCCAGCATTTATTTTTATTGCACTTGACTGATTCTCGCTCTCTCTGTCTTAAGGATCACTCCGATAACCCTCTTGGCGCTGCGGTTACTTTGGCCCATGAACTCGGACACAACTTCGGCATGAACCACGACACGCCGGAGCGCGGCTGCGGCTGCAGAGCCACCGTGGATCGCGGCGGGTGTATAATGACCCCCTCCACTGGGTGAGAAAACTGCATCAGTTCTGCAAATGAGATTCTTAAAGCTGTTTTTATGTTAAAACAGTCCTATATCAGTTTAATGTGCTATAATGAGGCCATTCATAGTTCTGTTTCACTGAGACTCTGTGATGCTTTCAGCCATGTATGGAAACCTGTTTGGAAACCATCATTATTTTTGCAGTAACGTATGTGGTGTGGTGATTTCTATTTGTTTTTCCAATTCATTTTCCAAGCCAGTTATTCTCTGTATGGTGCTGGGATCCCAGTATCATGTGCCATAGAGGTGAAAAAGTATTATTTTTTTGTTAAATATTTTTTATGAATATATTTTTAAAAATATCAATACATTTTCAATATTAATAGATTTTGGTGTTATATAGTGTTGAGAATTGTTTTAATTAATTTTTAAATATGAATATTCCATATAATTGTGGAAATTTTTTAATTTTTTTATATTAATATTTGTATTAAAAAATATATATATATTTTTTTTAAGTGTTATAGATTTTAAATATTAACGTTTTTCATCCTTTTTTAACTGATCTAAAAGAAAATGTATGAGGTTTTATAAGTCAATTATATAATATTTAATTAATATATTATATATATAAAAATACATTAAATATATTAAAATTCTGTTATTTTCTTACCCTAATTTTGTTCCAAATCTGCCTGACTGGTTTTCCTCTGCAAAACTTTTGTGAAATATAATATTGTGAAAAATAATAATGTTTTATTTAAATTTTTTTCCATTCAGTTTTGTTCGTGAAAGTCAACAGAGATTGATGTTATTTGGACTTCAGCGTTCTGCAAAAATATATATACAGTATACTGTATATATATACATACAGTATATATATTTTTTGTTTTTTGTTTTTGCTTTCAGCAGTAGAACAAAAGACCCACAGTAAAAGTTCTGAGTAAAATCTAGTAAGACCCATCAGCTGACTTTGCGAGTGTGAATCAGTTTCTTATTCCATTTTACCCAGAATTTCCGGCCTGCTCGGCACATGACTGCTCTGTCTGTTAGTTAGCGGTTCGCTCTCTTTCTGCCTCATTACTCCATAATGAACTCCATTTGGTCATCTGCACAACAGCAGACCTTAACACCCCACCCAGCGGGACAGCATTAGCCTTTAGCCTTTAGCCACACGCTCATTAGCATGCTTCCAGTTGACCCCGCTGGTTCATGACGTCTGTGTAGCACAAACCAGTTGGGACTCATTTCATAAAAACATCAGAGCTTGTGCAACTTGTTGCTAATTTATTCTGTCATCTGTTAGACGAGATGACTGGTTTTATGGTCAGATGTTCTGAGACCTGTGATGAAGAAACAACTCTAAACACATGAATTAAACACATTCGTACTAAACATGGAGACAGTTTTACATTACATTTACATTTAGTCATTTAGCAGATGCTTTTATCCAAAGCGACTTACAAATGAGGACAATGGAAGCAATCAAAATCAACAAAAGAGCAATGATATACAAGTGCTATAACAAGTCTCAGTTAGCTTAACGCAGTACACGTAGCAAGGGTTTTTTAAGTAATATAATAAATAAAAAGGAAACAGATAGAATAGAAAAAGAATAGAGCAAGCTAGTGTTAGAGGTCTTAGAGTTAGGTTGTCAGTTTTAGCACATATTGATTAAATTCATAAAACAATAAGGGTTTGATTAAACTCTTTTTAGGAATAAACTGCGTCACACTTGTTTAGCAGCACATATTTACTCATCAGAAAGTGATTGTGGATTTCTGTGAATGAGATTTAACGTTTGGCTTTTTATTGGACAGAAACAGCAGCGATTGACTAGAATTTGAGAAAAGAGATGGGAAATGGGGTCAGGAGAATCACAGAAAAACTCAACATGCACAATGATTGACAGGCAGTGGGCGTTTCTGATTGGCTGAGAGGCAGTGCTGTCATGGAAACAGATGGGATTTCTCATGACACCTATTTCAGGTATAGAGACATTTAATGTGTGGCATTCCCAAGAAATGGTTGGCAGCAGTTTTGAGTCTGTAAAGGTAGTTGTATTGTGTGATTCCAGCAAGTAAATCACACATTTGCAGGCCATGTTAGATTTCTCATGAGGCAGATGGTCGCACACCGGCCAACTCAATCCCAGCATCCTCTAGTCTAGTGTGTATCAGTTCATCCGCACCAGTGTTTTAGCTGGACTGCACCCATGAAAAACCCGTAACGTGACGCTCGGTGATGCGCTCATAAAGGACCAGGCGAGAAAAACAGATCTCATCCAGAGAGACAGAAAATAAGAAACATATTTGTCACGTATTTGTACAAATGAGAATCTGGAATCAGACAATTAAGACGGATATTTCTTCCATTACAGCGCATTAGTCTGCGTCTCCTCTCACAGAGCTTTCATAGATCAAAGCATAAATGAATTTAACATCACAGCAGGTGCTCGTTTAGGAGCTTCACATCTATATAACTGCATTAATTAAGACGTGAGTGGTGAAAATCCCTCTGAGGTTTGAAGCAACTCCTGCAGGTTTGATGAATGTAATCTCAAGTAGCCAGACTTTATCGGCACAGCGTGTGATCAACGGCTTATTCTGAACAAGCACTGCCCACCTAGACAGGAAGAGACTCTTTGATTGACAGCTCAAGCCACCATTATGGTGTTTTTATGTGATGTTTTGGAGCTGGTAGGTCTGAATTGACTCCTTTGAATTTATGAGTGTGAATTTGAATTTAATAGGCCTACTTGAATTGGGATGACAAGAACAGAAATTTCCTGAAGACATTTAACTTTAAGGAAATGCATTCTGGAAAATGAAGTGTTCTTCCACCCTGGTTCTCAAAAGTTTACATTTATTCAAATTAATTGTATTTAAATATTTTTGTAATAATACATTTTTAAATATATATTTTAATAAACTGACCTTTGTCAATTAAAGTAAATGTTTAAGTTTTATTAAAATGTTTATGCATACATATAAATAATTTATATATAGTAGATCATATAGGTCATAAATGCATAAGAAAACTGTAGTTGAGTATTCCCAGGATCAAAATTAGGGGAATACATTTTTTTTTTTTAATGTATTAAGTTGTATATTTAAATAAATTGCTTAAAGTACAAAAATACCTAAGCTTAGTACAAATGTTTGTTTTTTTTAATAAATATAAATAATTACAAGAAATTAAATAATTTAAATCAACTATACTGTATACATTTATTTATTTTATAAAAAAAATTGTGTTTCAGGCTGGAAAACAACATTTCCCACAATGCATTACCTGTGTTGAATTTCTTGGAACATATGTAAATTTAAAAATGTCTATAGGTTCTATATTTCTGGTATTTAAATTCTACTTTTTTCAATTCTGCTTCCTGTTTGCTACCTCACTTCAAATTAATTTAGCATTTGAGAACTGAATTGTAATTTATTTTTCTCATTTCAGTTCATTTCAAAATATACATGAAATTAATTCATTAAAAAACTAAAATTCATTTCAGTTTGTGGTTAGAAACTAAAAAAATTGCCAGAGGCCAAAGACAATCTTTGACATAATCAAAACTTACAAAAGTTAAACAAGACTTGCGAAATACAATGAAAGTCAATGGGGTCCAATGTTGTCTGGACCCCAGCGTTCTTGAAAATATCTTTTTTAAAGTTCACGTATGTTCAGAACAACATGAGGAAGAGTAAATGAACACATCTTTTATTTTTCAGTGAATTATCCCTTTAAATATTACATAAATACTGATGTATTATGTGTATGTATGTGTTACAGCAGGACTCTGTAGGCGACTCTCTCCATTGAGCCCCCAGCTTCTGTGACTCCTAACACTGCTATATTTGTTCCTGTGCTTCTACAGAGTCTTTGGAAGCTCCTCATACCCTCACAGAGAACAAACCCCACTCACAGCGAGATCTCTGTGCCCGTGGCAGTATCTCCATTGTGTGGGCCTCCTGTTGAGTCCAATCCAGAGGAGGTGTTTGAGAGCTTAGACACACTCGAGTAGCTGTGGCTTATCGCTGAGCGCTGATCTCTGGGTTGGCATCAGGAGGCAAGAGGAAGCATCTGCTTATCTCTCATCCTCCCGCAGGCTTATACCACACTGGCGCTAGTTGTCCCGGGTACAGTTGGTCCAGCGAGCATGAGGGCCGACACGAGCCAGATTTCCGTGCTTGCGTTTGCCCTGTTGTCTCAGTATGTGTGCCAGAAACGCAGTGAGCATCACAGTATTCGGCGGTTCTGCTGCATACTAATGGCCACAGCAAAGCCAACTGGATTCTGAACCCAACGCTGGTCCATTCTGAAAAGATAAGCTGTAGATCTGAGGATGTAGGAGGTAAACGCTGCCCAGCGCTTTACTTGATGGTTGCCAGTCAAACAAGAAGTTTGAGCTTCGAAAGTGAATTTATTGAACACTTGTTACATGTTCAGTTTAAAGGGATAGCTCACCCAAAAATGAAAATTCTGCCATCATTTGTTGTTGCAAACCTTTATGAATGTAATACTGGTTAAGCAGGAGAAAAGAAACGTCATCGTAGCATTGTGGCAGTGAGTTTTACATAATTTTATCTCCAGAAGTGTAAAAGTCTACTGATATTTTGCTGGTTTTACAACCCAGTTTGAATTGCCATGCTGGTCCGTGCTGGTTTAGCACTGGTTTTGTGCTGGTCTACCTGGTAAACCAGCACAGCCGTGATGTTCAGCAGCAAAAAATAGAGATCGGTGGCAAATATTTATTTTTTTTTACAATAATGTTTTATAGAGAGGATTGATCTTCACATAAAATTACTGTTCCCAAATATATAATAATATGATATAATAATAATTATTATTATTATTAATTAATTGATTATTATTATTATTATTAATTATAATAATAATTCTAACTAGTAATTTTATTCTTTTAAAGCTTTATTTATTATTCTAATTATTTAGCAGGAAAATTCTTGCGAAAAAGTTTATTGAAGACTGTTTACTATTTATCTTTTTCTATATTTTATTACTTTTT